TGGATATGTCGAAATCACGCTTTCAAAACACTGATCGTGTGGATGGGGTTGTTATCCTGGACGTGCTAAATTGGCTCGGCTTGGGGAATATCATGGCCCTCACTGATGGTAAAACATCCCGTCCAGGATTTTCATCTATTCACATCCCATAGATCTGTCGGGCCCGACATTCATCTCCCCAACCCTGTTGCTGTGCATCCACTCAAAACAGCCTAGCGCTTTCTGACAGTCTGCATACTTCAGCATAATCCGAAGTCCCACACTGCAGCATAATGCGAAGAAGAAAAGGACTCAGGGTAAGGTGACATGGCCACGCCCCCTTTTTAAATCCAGCTATAGGGGGTGTTGCCTCGGATTATCAAATGGTTTTCATTAGTTCATAATATTCAGGCAGTTCAGTGCAAGCTTCCTATTTGTCTTTCACACTGATTTATAGTTTTAAATGATATGTACTTGATCTTCCTCCGTTATAAATCTAGAGCGCCCAATTCTGACCTTGTTTTTGGTAGATCCAGTTGTTTGGTGTCGTTGGATCCACAGAGACACGGTTGGCTTCGAAATACCTGATCTTGATAATTCCTCAGAGCAAAGTGTAGTTATGACATTATAAATGGTCTATGAGCTTTCAATATTGTTAGTGTTGGCATGATACGAGGCCTTTGCCATATCAGCTACAAAACACTATTCGAATACATTGTGAAACTTTATCTGTTTCGAGCTTTGAAAACAAGTAGCAACCTTTCCAAATCAAATCCCAGTGGTCGTTTCGGTTTCATGTACTCCCGAGTAAGGAGTGAAGGACGAGATGAAAGGAGGAAGCTCAGACTGGAAGTACTGTCTATGCAGGGTAGCTAGAAGAGAAGGGTCTGTGAATATCAATGTCCTTCAAATGAGCATTTTGGATCGGCTGAGGACGTTATCCAGTGTGAGATTGGTGAAGAGGGATTCAGCGTCCATGGTTGCGAGGACCTGTGAATATGGACGCTGAAGTCCGTGGAGCGATGGAAAAGGAGCCCAATAATGAAGCGCGAGCCTGACTCAAATAGGAAATATGAAGGTGCGTCACTAAACCCATATAGAGGTACGTGAGTTGCTCCTGTCAGCGGACAAGGCGGTAATATTTTCCTGCATAGAACAAGCAGGGTCTCGGTTACTTCTGAAGATATACGGCGTACCGTGTTGTTTCTCCCTTATCAATTCCATTCCCTACGCCTTCCTTTCCAGCTTGCCAAATAAAATCCAGGATAAATTCGAAACTATTTTCTCAACTTTCAAAGATACGGTTTTGAGTATAATTATTGCCTTCCATCATATGCCTACGCCATTCATCTACTCATGTACCACAAAACCAAGTGAAGAGGATTGCATACATATTCAAACTCACTACATAACACTCCGATTTATGAGCAGGCCATCCATTCTTTCACAAATCCACCGGCTTTGTTATGTCGTGACAGGAGTGATCTTCGGAGTCATCGGTGCTATGTTGGCCATTGGTCTATTGGCTCTTATCGTCTGGAAGCTCTGCGCGATTCTCCAAGACCGCCGCGAATACGCCAGGTTCCTGCGCAGTAAGGACGGGGCGAAGTGGAGTAATGTGAGTCGGCATGTTTATCTTTTTCTATAATACCTGCGTGTGAAAGTTTATTGATGTTTATGTTATAAGTTATCCCTTAATATACCCGTCATATCATATGATTTTATTATTATTATTAATAGCTGTGGTCGAAATATTGTTTTTAGTATAGCAGGCAAACTTCACTCCTGCTGGAAATCTGAGTGATAAATTAGGTTTCGTTTATCAGGAGCAAATGAAAATTGTCACTTAAGCTGACTATTTATTTTTCTATTTAGTTTCTGGACAGGGGGAGCAAGCCCTGCATCCCCCTTTATTAGAACTCGAAATCGGAACATTAAGAAGTGTGTGTTTATCTTTATTACTCTGAGTGATGTGTGTAGTCTCTGAGCGGTGATATACAGCGTCATTTCGCGGTAAATGTGAAGCCGCAGCAGCTGAACCTGTGATGACTGTGTCCATTTCACTCTCGGTAACATTAACCTATTAACCTAGAAATTTCGTGACGATCTCCATAACGCTAAAAGATCATTTAGCTCATTATTACCATCACCATAGCAAGATGGTTACTTTAAAAATGATGTTCAACTAAATAAGCTAAATCAAACAAGAAGAAAAGTACTGAAAACAGGAAAATGTAACACATAATTTGTGTAAATGTATAGGAACCACTTAAAAATGAGTGATTAGTCATAATCTATGCAAATAATATACACCTAGTTAATTGCAAAAGCTTTAACGTTGTTCTTTTCAATATATTAATAAAAAGTATGTTTATCCCCAACAGAGTGAAAATCCAATCTTCAGGCGGGCCAGAACTACTATTCAAAACCCTCTGTTTAATTCCTTCGAGTAAATCCGAAGCCAAGGACTGTCAAGGAACTCGCCAAGGATATTACTACAGCTGATGTTACTATCTCCTGCAAAAAATGGGCAATGATATATATATATATATATATATATATATATATATATATATATATATATATATATATATATATATATATATATATATAATGTAAAAATATGTATACTTATACAATACCTATATTAAGTAAATATATATATGTTAAATATATAAAAAAAAAATATATATATATATATGTATATATACACACACACACACAAACACACACACACACACGCACACACACACACGCACACACACACACACACACACACACACACACACACACACACACACACACACACACACACACACACACACACACACACACACATACACACACGGGTGAACGGGTGAGACAGGCAGTACTCAGTACAGTATGTGTAAAAACAATCGAACAAGTCGACTCACAGTGGGCATGGCATGTACGTACATGCCATCCCCGGCGGCTATCGATACTGTTATTATTGCTGGATCACTTTTGCTCCTGTCTATAATGGGCAATTTCTATGATACATGTGCACTGCCTTTCCTTTGTTGAATTATGTATTGCAGGGCCCAGGTACTATTACACCAGGCATGAATTTAGTTCATCCATATTTATTTATATGACGAAATTTAATGGTTGTAATATAGAGAAGAGAACAGACTTCCATTTGTGAATATATCAGTTCATAGTTTGACAGAAAGCCAGACCATAACTTTTGCCCAATTGAGATAAGACATCATCAGTTAGTTCTTTAATTTTATTGATGGTCTGCCTGATCTACTAGCCACAAATTTGCCTTGTAATTCATCTGCATAGTTAAAGGCATCAACAATTAGTATTTTTTCAGAATTCTTGGAAGATAGACAATGGAAAAACAAAGGTCAATACTGAGAAGAGAAAATTCAACAGACTTTGAAGAACTGTGTAAAGAACACCCAGAACAATTTTCATTTTCAACTCAGTCTATACATAACCAGCCGGATCACATAAAAATAATGATTTTTTAGTAGAGGAAAATGCTGTTTCACATTTTTGCCATTCACCCAATCAGCACGTATGGCAAGAATACCTGCCCACAGTAATACAATTTTATTTATTGTATTGGGTTAACATTCATTTGTAACAGGTTTAACACAAATAATCTGTGCTATTATCAATATGTCAATAAGAACCATTTTCTTCTCTGAATCATAGAGAATTATGTTTTTGTGTCCAAACTTTATGCTTCTTAAAAAGAAGATATAAATATTATTCTTAAATATATTGTACCTGAAAACATTTAAGTAAAATTTCATTTCAAAATCTTGAAATTGCTATTTTACCCTCTACAGTCAGGTGTTATATTAAGGTTTTATTATGATTATTAATGCCATACTGTATGGTGTGTCATGATTAATATTACACATGTAGTTTTGTTTGTAATTAATTAAAAGAAATCTCATGTCTGTAATTTAATATTAAACTTTTTCAGCCTGCTACACAGGTAATTTCCTTTAATTATATAACTGTGTTTCTGTATCTTTGTACTGTACATTTGTTCCAAATAGACTAAGACTTTAGTTGTAGAAGCTATTTCTCTTTCCAGAAAAAATGAAATCTGTTTTAAAAATCTTTACATCTGAATCTATAAAAAAAAAGGTTTTAATAATTAACTGTTTACAAAGCAAAATATGTGTGCTAGACATCAGGGGTTACATAGCACTGTAGAAGGATGTAATAGTGAAAAGGGCAAAGTGGGGGCCAGTTGATGACATTTAGTTAGAAGTCGCAGAGCAATTTAGGAAGGTAGGGATTAACAAGGGCAATTCTATCAAAGTTGACAAAGGAAGATGTGTGGGATTCTGTAAAGATGTCTGTAGGGTAAAGTAGGGATTAGCAAAGGAGAAAGGGGTGTAAGGACAATTAGATCACAGATTTAGTAAGAATGTTCGGAGGGAAGGTATTTAGGGAAGGGGGTTGCTGCGACATCCTGGGGGAAGCAGAGGGATACTGGGTTAGGATGGGGGGGAGGGGATGATGAGACTGAAGCAGGGGGGGGTGGGATGTGTTGGAATGGAGTGGGAGGAAGGGGTGTAGGGGGAAAACGAGTAGGATGATGATAAAAGTTGGCAGATACTTTGAGTGTAGAAGGAATTGGAGTAGGGAGATTGGAGGATGGTTAAGGCTGAGGAATGTTATATAGTTTTGAATGTCTTTGAGAGTTTCTGCAGTGGAGCCAGTTGGGGAGGTCTGAAAAACAAAGGTTTTCTTATGGGGGGGTGGGGAGAAGAGGGGACAGAGGTTTGAGGGGTGGGGGTAGAGGTTGATGGGAGAAAATGGGGTAGAAGATGGGATGGAGCGTTTAGCTTGTCTTGTGCGATGAGCTGGGTGAGGAGGGAGTGTCTGGAATAGTGAATGAGATTGAGGTGTCTTGATTTAGAATGGCAAAAGAATATGACTGGGAGAGGGAGAGGGTAGAAATGGGATGAGGAAGAGATGCTGGGAGCGATGTAGAAACATCTTGGGAGGGAAGGGGAGGGTAAGAGCAATTATTGGAGTTAAGAGTGAGAGAGCAAACCTAGCTGCTAACAATTCTGAAATTGACGTGGGGAGGTTGATATGGTCAGACAGGGAGGGATCCTCTGCCAATATAAACATTAAAGGGGAGGTCATGTCTACGAAAAGTAATCTTGACAATATTGGTGGGGGACTTCCATGGGTAATGGTGTGCCATTGTACTGATACTGCATCAAAGTCCAAGAGGCACGCAAGCAGGTATCCGCAATATAATCAATTTTTGTTGTAGATTGGGCAGTTTGTTGTGGATAAGGTAAAAGTATTGAGGGTGGGATGAGATTGGTCAGGAATGGCTTTGCCAGTGAAGTTTGTCAGGGTTGATAACGCTTTAGCTTGGGATTCAGATGTAACTGTGATGAGACGGGAACGATCAGGGCAGCTGTGGAAGGAAACTGCATACTAGTTTTTGGAGACATTGCTGGAAGAGGAGATTGTTGTCAGAGTAAGGAGCTGTAGGGGATCACGAAAAATCAGTCCCATTTGGCTGGGATAAACAGAGAATTTCAGATGTTTGTAGAGGAGGGGATAGTAATAGCAGTGTTCTGAGTCGTGGTCAAAGGAGAGCCTGGAGTCGGGAAACTGGGAGAATTTGAATCATGCTCTCGTCCATGGTAAGTCTACAGCATGTTGGAAAGAGAAATAGTCTATTCCTCAGGGTCCCCTTCGGAGTTAATAGCTAGACAACTAAACAGAGGAATAGTTTGCCCATAGCTCCCCCAGGCCATTCATGACTGGCACAAAGCCAGCCTTCCATCCTTTCAACACGGCTCTCAGACCTTAGGAAAGGGATAGTAGAAGCGATTGGAGAAGAGAGGGAAACGAAAAGGGGGAGGTTATGGTTAATGGTTTGAGGAAATAAATGTGCCAGATATCAAAGGTCATGTGGTAAAGTTTTGTGGCGAAAAGGGTGAAAAAAGTTAACGATCAGAATAAGATGTGTTAGATGTTAACACTTTTATAGAGGGGGAGTAAATGGAAAACAGTGGGGATTTGGGGATGTGGTTAAAGGGACGATCAGATCAAATGGAAAGTATGTGTCTGAGGAAGGGAGAGTAACAATAATAAGAACAATACAGAGTTATTATGAAACAATCAGAGGGTAATACAGTAAGAAACGATAGTTGTAAAAATAGGAGAATAATCCTGAGAATGAAATATGGGAACAGGGAAAGGTGGTGAAGCATTGGGAAGAATGTCAAGAGAGGAAGGATCCGCAGAAGGACATTGTTGTGACATAAGGGAGTAACATGGCCATCTAAGAAGCGGTAAGGATAATGGGGTAGGAAGAGGGAATGGTGATGCACATGGAAAAGGAGAGGATGGGCTGTTTTTTGGGCGAGTGGGATGAAGAGGGGTTGGGGAACTTGAGGAGGAGGAGGAGGAGGATGGATATCGGCAGATACTTTAAAATAAATGAATTAGAGGGTGGATGAAGGAATGGCCAAACCTCTTTAGTCATGTTTTATGAACTTTTGGATGTCTTCGAAAGTTTCGGGGGGGGGGGGGAGGTCTGAGTGGAACGTTTAGATTGTCTGGTGCAACAGGTAGAGTGAGGAGGAGGGGGAGGGGTAGCTCCTATAAAATATAATATGGGACACACCACAATTGGCACACATACATGACTGAGCAGTGCAACTTGAGGGCAGTAGGCTATGAAGCAACAGTGTTTGGCTGGGTGGCCAAAACGCCGACATTTCTGACACTGACGGGGAAGAGCAGGGCACTCCACCAATATAAAGATCTTGGGTGAGGTTATGTCAACGGCAAGAGTAGTGTAGGACTTACGTTGGCCTCTGGGAGGAACAGTGTAGCACTGGACTACCATTGTATCATAGTCAGAGACATGTGAGCAATCGTTTTCACAGTCTGACCAGTCCTTGTTGAAGACAAGACAGTCAGTCAGAGAACAGTGCAAGTACAAGTATTAAGGGAGTGAGGTTGGTCAGGAATAGGTTTACCAGTGAGGCCAGTCAGGGAAGATAATGCACATACTTGGGACTTGGATTTAATTATGACAAGGCATGAAAAATCGGAACAACTGAGAAAGGAAACTTTGCCTACTTGTTTTTGGAGAAATTGTTGGTAGAGAAGGGTATTATCACAGTACGGGGCTGTTGGGGGAATCACAAAGAATTGGTCCCACTTGACTGGCCAAAAAAGGTACTCAAAAGGTTCGCAGAGGTGGAAGCAGTAGAAGGAGATGGGCAGGAGGAAGATGGGGTGGTATGGAGAGAGGTATTAATTTTGGGAGGAAAATAGGGAGGACAAAAAGGATGAAGTGTAGTAGAAAGGAGGTGGGGGTAGACAGTGAAGAAGACTGAGAAGTAGAGGATGAAAAATGCTGCGAGAGAGGAAGGGATGTATTCCGAAGGTTGATTAATGATCTGGGTGGATGATTCAGAAATGGGTAGAATTGACAGCAAACATCAAAGAGGGGGTATCAGAATCAGTGGTTAAAGCTGTTGCCAAAGG